AATTAATTCAGGCACATCGAATTGTTTTAGCTGTTTGTTCGCCGTATTTTAAGAACTTGTTTGAAAAAACTCCGGCTACTAATCATCCTATAGGTAGACACATAACCTAAATAAAGGACAAAGGAAAATACTGATCAGTAAACTTTTCTAACAATCTTGTATCTTTTCCAGTTTTTCTTAAAGACATATCCTACAAAAACCTCACAGATTTAATACAATTCATGTACAGCGGTGAGGTCCATGTTAAACAAGATGACCTCCCAAGTTTTATTGCAATTGCAGAAAGTTTGCAAATCAAAGGACTTACAGAATTCGGTGTAAATGATGTAAGCATCTAAAAGTACTTCTTGTACTTATTCAACAAGTACTAATATTTATTATTATTTAGAACGAAACCAGTAGTACTACAAAGAATGGTGAAAACACATCCATGAGTAGATCAGCCAGGGCGAATAAGAGGGCTTTAAGGAAAGAACTTCCAGAGGATGATATTCCTCTCAAGTATAGAAAGAGAACTAGTCATACGAGAAGTAAATATTCACAAAACATGTATACATTATCCAATCGATTATTAATCAATTATATTTTAGGTACAAGAAATTCATCAAAAAATGATGAAGACCCATTAGAAGATGGTGCTTCAACAAGTCAGATGAATTATGTAGCAGGTATTAATCATTATAAATAATTAGTTTTGATATTATTTGAGCAATAATTTTATTTCATTAGTTTTTATTAGCAAAGTGTGAGCCCGTTTTGGAAGACAGCAACATGGATGATGATCACTTCGATACCGGTTTTGATAAAGATGATGATGACAATGAAATCTTTGAAAATTCAAATTATCTGAACACTTCTAACAATACAAGTCAGTATTTTTATATATTATTTATTTTACCATAGATGTTGTGTATTATTTTAGTTTATAATAATTTATTTTTAATAAAAATCATGGTAATCATAATAAAAAAAAATATGATTATTAATCCTTATTGTGTGAGTGAGATATTTTTTTAATTGTGCAAAGAATCAGTGAGTTAAATCAGTGTTTCGTTCAGTTATTATTGGAATAGCATAAGTTAAGTAATTTTTTATACATTACACATAATTTACATTTACAAATCATTTTAATAACTTCAATTTTTAGGCAACCAACAAGACAAAGCATCAACGGCACCTCAAACAGTCCCTATAACACCACAAGACGACCAAGAATTTCAAAATCCAGACAGTGAAGCACCCGTCCCTGTAGAATTCTTTCCCACAAAAATGGGAGGCTATGTTATGGTACACGACTCACAAATTTATTCCCTAGAAAGGCGAGGTGGAGACCACTGGTACTGGTGTTGTAATTTAAAAGGTAAAAAGAACTAAAATCCTCTTAATGTTATAATCACTATTAATTGTATCTATTTTTTAGGACCAAGAAGATGTCCGGCTCGATGTCAAACCACTTCTCAATTCGATAGTGTTGTTATAAGGAATTCAGATCACAATCATCCAGATAGAACTGCAGAAATTGAAAGAAGACGGTTGAGAGTGACAGCAACAGCAGGGCCTGATGATTGTGCAGAATGGATGAGACGTTTAGAGGCACAACAGAATTTGAAAGAGGAACGCAAACAAGAGAATAATAAAGATGAAAATTAGAACTTGTGGAAGACATTTGTACGGTTTTGATTTTATTATAAGACTGCTTGATATTGTTTGGAATTTGCAACTTAGTTTGCAGCAGAAATTTAATTTCAGTCACCAGAATTGTATATACAGATATTATTCATCAACTTAGTTTAGAAAGCTTTATTAGATTATAATTAAGTTATGAGAAATATGTAAGAAAAATATTTTGCATGCATTTTAAAAACATGCATTTATTTGAATGATGTAAAATGTGCTGAGGTGATTCAATTATCTATTATAAAGCCCTTGATTCAAAACTTCATTATTTAAGTAATATTTATGAAACATAATTTTTAAGTCATAGTAATAAGATATGTTGCTAAAATATGAGATGTTTTAAAATATCTTAAAATAAATTAAGTTTGTCAATAATTTAAAATTTAATTTAAAAGTGTAGAAGACTAGTTTATAAGTTTGCCAAACTAGTATAAGAGTCAAATATGACATGTACAAAATTTTAACAATATTTTAATAAAACACGCTTTAATAAATATAAAAATGTATATATTTCTAACTTTCCGAAGTCAAAAATTGGTCAAACCTGTGATATATATATATGTATATAAAGTATTCATTATTTATTTTTATTTCAGGTACCAAAGAAAAACAATCAGACACCCCAAACACCGATTCTGTTACACCAAAGAACATAACTGGAATTAACCAAACCGAATTTTAAATCAATTTATCATATTGAAAACCCCATTGCAATTATTAATTAATCCAGTACAAATCCCAGAAATAGAAACTATAGCCAAAAATCAAGCAGCAATAAATTCTGAGAAAGAAAATGAAGCTTCAAATAATTCAAAAGACAAACCAAAGTCAGATAAAGAAACAGAAGAAGAAATGATCATTTCTAATGAAGAAATTGAAGATGTTTTAGTCTATACTTTGAGCACCCATGGGTACCCTCAATTGATTCATCAGGGACATTGTTTCCAAAGGTACAAAAATGCAAACGGCAGAGCTTATTGGAAATGCAAGCAATCGAGACAACTGGGCTGTAAGGCTAGACTGGTAAGATAAAAGATAGTATAGTATTTTTTATATTTAACTTATCAATCTATATTTCTAGATTACAGAACCTTTGGCTCAAACTTCTGGCAGTAAACCATCCACAAAAATTACTGTAACATCGAAGTATCACAATCATGGAAAGATAAAAGATTTTTGGGGCTCAAGGTAATATAATACACAAAATATATTGTATCATTATTACATTTTTCATCTATCTATTTTTTCATTGCAGATCAAAACCGAGATCCAAGTTTAGCAAAGAGATGGAGAGAGAAATAAGAGAAGAGCAAGAATTACAAGACGAGTTATCAGAAAAGCAAAACAAATCTGAAACAAATACTAATAGTAAAGAAAACACAACAGCTCCAACTAATAAGTCTGTTGAAACTCCAAACCCAAATGATATTTCCAAAAATAATGATGACAGTGTAAATAAAGAAGCAACAAATCCCAATTTAAGTGATTCAGGATTAAATAATTTGCAAAACCAATTCGAAGAGGTTTCCCAAAGAAGTAATGATTATGAAGATATCGATATGTCTATAGTAGATTTAGAATACTATGATTAATAAAAAATCAATTATTATAAGTAAACTATTGTATATAATATAATATTTATGATATTCATGATAACGGTTTGCCTTTAATGCTCGAAAGAGAAGATTTAGATCGCTAGGAATAATAAAAATTGAGTATTATGTATTGATAAGATATTTATGATGATGGTTTTTGATCATAATTATTTTAATGTTATTGTCGGGTAATATATTTTATTACATATTAATTTTATTGTAAATAATCTTTTATTGTAATAAAAGATCATGTAGATGAATAAATTCATGTGTTTCTATTTGTGAAAAATCTTATCTGTAATGATATTTAAAATATAATTTTAAATAATGGAAAAATTTAAAGAAACTAGGTGAAGTGGCATTCTGCCTTTTTAATTTAAATAAAGAATAAATAATATCTGCAATTCAGTTATTAAAAGTATACATGATTTATTTGAGATTCAGACAGATTAAGAATAACTAGAAAGAAAACAAAGTTAGCAAAACCGATTTTTTGACTTTTGAACATATTATAACTTCTATTTTATGTGTTACTTTGAAATAAATTTTGAATTTATGAGAATTTAAATAAGTTGACAGTTGTAACTCCACGATTTTAAAAAATCATAAGATAATCAAAATTATGCCGGATTCAGTATATAAAATACAGAAACTTATTGTATTACTATTTTATGTTTGTGTTAATAAAGATTCTTTTTTCCATTTTGTTCATATTTTTTAACTTAAACAATTAATTTAAAATGTCTGCCATAGATACTGTCATAAATAAGAATGTTGTTTTCACGAAACGCTTAATAAAATTAAAATAAAGCTATATTTGTAATTACCAAATACCTTAAAAACCACTGTTAATTATATTAATATTGTTATAACAATAATAACCATTATTAATAATATCATTATTATTACTTTTCGTTAAACCATCCCGCCTATATTTTCGATCTCTCTGACATCGGAAACAAAACTGTCAAAACTGACACATCAGTTACTAGCGAAGTATTTTGCTAAATAACTAAATTAAATTATAAGTATTTTGTGGAAAACACTAACCAGTGAATAAAAAAGATGCATTCTAACACACAAATAACATTTTCTAAAGAGTAAGTACCTACAAACAATATAAATTTGTAAAAATAATAAGTTTGTACACATTTTTGACATTCCGCCATTTTTTCACGAACCAGGATTACCGTTGATATCCACAAATGCAAGATCGCAGTAATAAAATTAATAAAATACAAGTAGTGTTAAAGAAAAGTTGTAGCTCGTTAAAGTGGTTTATTATTTGTGAAAAATGTATAGATATGGATTTCGGAAGATGGACAGGTAGTTTTATAATACAACAAATAAAGTAACATTTTATGGACAAACTGAGGGCCGCCATATTTCTGTTAACTTCACGTTCAAAACATACAAATGTCATTTGGACGTTTTTAAAACGCAAATTAATATTGTGTTGCACATTTATTAAAAATTAGTTGTAAGTAGCATTTTGCCTTAAGGTAAGTTGCACGAACTTTCCGATATGTATAAATAATCGATAAGAAATCAGATAGAAATGCTATCTGTTAAATTTGAGGTTAGATTCTTAATAAAATTTCACTAAAAACTAATCAATGCAATTTCCAGTTAAAATCTTTCAAACAAACTTAAATTATTTGTAATCACATTAATATTTAACACATTTCGTTTTACTTCGTGTTCAAAAATTTATTTTATTTAAGTGTGCAGGTCAACGGTAATCAGTACGAAACACAGCTCAGAATATGGGGGGTGTTTGCTATCATTTCAAACTTTAACCAATTGTTATAATAAAATCACATTTCGTAGGCCTAGAATATTTTAATTATGTTAATTTAGACCACAGGTTCCCAAACTATTTTGTGTCGTGATTTTTTTTAGATCCCTTGAAAGTGTCATGGATCCATAAATATCACTTTGAAAATCAATGTTTTAAGCCATGAACTTTTTTAATATGCAAAGTTGCATTAAAATCGGTGAAAAATATTTAAGCAACAGTTAATTATAAAGAAACAATGACCGATTGTCATGAAAAACAAATCAACGGCAGTCTTTATCAAAAATGGCTTTAAAATTTTTAAAATCGGTACAGCCGTTTTTGAAGAAACAAATTTAGAAATAGAAACAAATTTCTACTTTCAGTTTTCACAATTAAAAAAATTCTTACTCTTAGGGACTTAGGCGAGGGACTACCAGAAGTCGGAAAAGTCCGTTTCAAAAATAGGTTCTCAATATCAGATGACGAAAGTAGTGAAGAGAGCACCTCAGACGACTCAGGAAGCGATTCATCTTCATCAGATTCTTCAACCGAAGACGAGAGACAATCAAGAGAAGGTCGCAAAGTCCTCGTCATGCCCGAACCAGTTAACGACAAGTAATAAATAATACAAATTACTTCAATAAACTTACATTCCTTATGCAGAGCAGATTTTTCATTTGTTTCATTATTTACGATTATTTGCACTACAATTATTTATGGGCGACGGGATAAAATATTCTTCCAATCCATACATTTTTTATTAACTCAAGATTTGTACTACTATTTAACCTTAAAATGTAATGACATGAAACATCGGAAAATGAACAATATGCTTCGCGCTTTCGGTGACGTACGCACATATAAAGTCACGCATACCAAGAATCCTCGCACAAATACGACCAATCAGAATCCACCCGTATAGACATCATATCATCGAGAGCAAATGACTCTCACTTGACCTTGCCGTAACTATTTCCGTTGCATTTGTACGGATTTACACCCATGTCGCGCCTAAAGATGTTTTGACTTCATTAAATATTTCTAAATAATTGCCTTCAAATTTAAATTGTCCATTTATATTTTCAGGGCTTATAGAGATACCAGGGAATGGGTGGAAAAGGCCACAAGACACAGTCAAAAATTTGTAACGGATCTTCGAAAACATGAAGCAGGTAATGAGTTAGATTCGTGGTCTGCTTCAAGTAGCAGAAGGTCGATAGATGATCCTGGACGAGTACCAGAGATTTGCGAAATGCCATTAACTGACGATGGCAGTGAGTAGTTATTGTGAAAAGAATCATTATTGCAGGGCAAAAAATAAAAAAAAAACTATTTTTAATCCAGTTTTATATTCAAAATCTTCTGGTTTTCCTTATCATATTTATTAACATTGCTTGTTTATTTTTAAAGAAGTGAAACACACCGACCAGGTTTGGGACAGGGCTGTGATCCATTATATGGCAAAAGAAGTTGGACTTCGAAATGGACACATGAAAGTTCCAAATCTTGATTTTCCTGATACAGAACATGGACGAGAACTCAAAAAATTGCACAGGTAAATAAAGAACACAGGTCTAAGAATTGCATCTACCCCGAAAAGATCATGTGTTTATAATACAGTAGAACTCCAATTATCCGAATTAATGGGGACCGGGACCCATTCGGATAATCAAATATTCGGATAATCGGAGTTTTATTTGAAATTGCCATTGGAGAGAAAAAAAGTTACGTTTTGATATTGCATTATTTTTTTTATTGAATTAAATGAAAGAAACATGACATTTTCACATGTTTTAAATATAAATAAAATGTACTTATGTACAAGTTTAGAAATAAAAATCATTGTTTGTAAACATCTCCGTCAAATCAAAACAAACAATGTGCCTACACTGGCTTTGCTGGTGGAAGAATAATAGCGCACTTAGACTTTTTTTGGACATTTTTTCTGAAAGTGATTCGGATAATCGGCGATTCGGATAGTCGGAGTTCGGATAATTGGAGTTCTACTATAATTGGATAAAATATAATTAATTATGTCGCCATCTAACGGTGTGCTTTTACAAAAACCAAAACCTGGTAGGGGGGCTTTTGACTCGCCATTTTGAGCTTTTAATTTTATTCTTTTTTTATTATTATGTAAAATATAGTTGTTAATAATACATGGCTAAGACAACATCTACGTTTCATTTGAGTTTATTATTCAATAAGAGACAACTATATCAAAATATTACTATTATAGCTCTATGTAATTGTTGACTCTGAAAATGGATATAGACTTCCTTTTGATCTATGTGGGTGAAAAGAACTTTCGTACCAAAGGTGCACTTTTAAGTCTTATCAGAAAACCGATAGCAACAACTTGGTTGTATCAGCAATTTACCAATTTTTTCCCGATTTTAGTTACATGGTGAAAGGTTTCGACGCAGGCAGAGCTGAAGGACTAAAATTAGTACAGAAGTCTTTGCAAGTTGCAGCAGGCAAGTTTTTTTGCACATTTAATTGCCCACATATTATAATTGTAGATTTACAATAATATAATAATATTATATTCAGATATGGGCGTTTTGTCTAAAGAAAATGGAATTTTCCAAATCAAGACACTCCCCGGTAAGTTAATAGAATTAACAAATATAATATAAATTTAGGGGCCAATTCTGCGGTAAAAATATGCTATCTTATACTCCTTTCTTGGTAATAAAAATTGTAAAATTGCTATCAGGCGTATTTTAAATATAAACAAATCTAGAAAAATGTTATCATAACTGCATCATTATGATGCGCGATTATAATATATGGCTTTATATGTAAAACGCCTGCTCGTACAGCAAATATAGCATTTCACAGTTTATAGTACCAAGAAAGAAGGATAAGATAGCGTTGTCATGTTACCGCATAATTAGCCCCTTAGTAAATAATAATTTAGATTGTAATTTCCCAAAGTGTCTACCATAAGACCAAATGCTAAACTTTGCAAGTTTTCTAATAAAATTTTGAGTTACAAGAGACTTGGTTAGAATTTGGTCCAAAGACATCAATTGACACTTTCCATGAGCTCTGCAGAATTCATTTCTATAATTTGCATTCCTTTACTCCCCTTCTTGGGGTCCTTTCCCCAAAATTGCATTTATATCTTCTGACCCAGGAAAATCAGCGATCGAGACCATAGACTATATCATTCGCTACTGTGTTGTAGCGATGTACATCGACGACCTCAGGA